GCCTTGCCCAGCCTGAAGGCATCCCCATTGCAGGGAAGAAGAGGACTGGGAGGTGGCAGCTGCCACCCGGGCCTCGGTGGCCGCACAGCAGCAGGTGTGCAGGAGCGAAGAACAGGAGCGCAGCAGGCCCACAGAGGAGGCGGCTGGGGCGCGGGGGCCCGAGGAGCCCCACGGCCTCTGGCGCCCGCCCCGGACTCAGGGCGAAGCCCCAGGTGAGCCAGCCCTGCCGCAGGCAGCCCCGCGCTGGCCCAGGAGCCACCTGGGGGGCAGGGGGGTTCCTGACGCCACTGCCGGGGACCGGCAGAGCCCCCAGCCACAAGAGGACCCCAAGGGCCTGCTCACGAGGGCCTGCCCACGCCCTGACGTAGAGGCCTTTCGGGTAGGCCCCAAGGAGGTCCTGACAGATGGCCCCGTGAGCCAGGAGGCTCCCCCTGCACCCGGCCAAGCCGCAGGGGCCGCCCTGAGGTACGTGGGTGCACGAACTGGGGTGGGGGTGGGGCTCCCACAGAGGGTGGGCTCAGGGCAGGTCAGGGCCCGGCACGCCGCTGACCTCTCTCCCCTCTCTGGGCTCAGCACCGTCCCGCCCCCAACTTCAGAGCTCAAGGACGAAGACTTCCCCAGTCTCCGTGCCTCCACGTCCTCCTCCTGCCCCTCGGCAGCAGCCCTAGGCCCCGTGGGGCTGGCCCTGGCGTGCGCTGTTCCCTCCAGGGGCAGGAGCGCCTTCCAGGAGGAGGACTTCCCTGCCCTGGTGTCCTCCACCTCCAAGCCCAGCGCTGCCCCCACCAGCCTCATTTCCGCCTGGAACAGCAGCAGCGGCACAAAGGTGGTGCGGCCCCCTGCCGGGGTCCAGGCTGCCGGTGGGGGTGTCCAGCCGCACAGGAAGGCTGCAAAGGGGGGCAGGGGCAGCAAGAAGGGCGGGCCACCCCCTGTGGAGGAGGAGGAGGAGGAGGAGGACGGTCGAGCCGGCCTCACTGCCCAGGAGCTGCGGAGCGTGCCCACCGCGGTCACCGTTTCCTCCCTGCTGTCGTTGGCCTCCACCCAGACTTTCAGCAAGGTCGGCAAGAAGAAGAAGGTGGGCTCAGAGAAGTCAGGTGCCGTGTCGCCCCCAGACAAGGATGGGCCCCCTGGGGCTGAGCAGGCCCCAACGGCCCCCCTTGGCAGAGCTGAAGGACCGGCTGCTGTCATCGTCAACGGACACACGGAGGGGCCCACCCTGGCTCAGAGCGCCCCCAAGGAACCGCCTGGCCTCCCTCGGCCCCGAGGGCCGCTCCCCTGCCCCACGGCCCAGGACGACTTCCCAGCGCTCGGTGTCCCCTGCCCGCCGAGGACACCCCCGCCCCCAGGTACTTGCCCCGGGCTCAGGCCTGCTGCTGGAAGTCTGGGAAGGGGACTGGTAGGAGAGTGAGCCTGGAATTCTGGCCCCGAGGGGAGCGCAGCTCGGGGGTGCAGGGCCGGGAAGTCAGGCCTGCAGGCAGGGGGAGGCGAGCCTGAGCAGTTCTTCCCAGCTGCTTCCAAAGCCTAGTGGCACCATTGTCAGCAGTCACCTTGCCCTCTCTGTGTCCCTGTTCTCCCTGTAAGATGGGAGATTTGGGCAAACGAGCTGCCTTAGGCCAGAATTTGCCACGAACAAGTGCAGCATGTGCAGGCCCTCGCCATCATCAGGCCCTGGCCCTGCTCTGCGGAGGAAATGTGGCCTATGGACAAAGCCTGGCCCGGGGGACGGCATGACTGAGCTCTGGAGGTGCCTGGCCAGCAAGGGTCATGTTCTGGGTCTTGCGGTGCCACCCGCCCCCTACAGGCTTCAACAGTGTGGTGCTTCTGAAGGGCACCCCACCCCCACCTCCACCAGGTCTGGTGCCCCCTGTCAGCAAGCCACCCCCTGGCTTCTCTGGCCTCCTACCCAGCCCCCACCCAGCCTGCGTCCCCAGCACTACCACCACCACAAAAGTGTAAGTGTGGGTGGGCCACCTGGCCTTGTGCCCCTGGGGGCTGAGGGAGTGTCCTCACCTTGGTCCGCCCCAAGGCTGAAGCCTCCTCCTCCATCCTCAACTGCCAGAGCCAGGCTGACACCCGCACCGCGGGCCTACCTGGCCCCCAGGGACTTCCGGGAGCGGAACCTGCAGCTCATCCGGTCCGTCAGGGGCCTCCTGGCGAGCGACGAGGCCCGCTTCAGCGAGTTCAGAAGCCGCTCCGGAGAGTTCAGACAGGTCAGGCGGGCAGGGGGGTGGGGACCAGCCCAGCCACCTGGGCCCAGGCCTGGCCGGGCGTGACTGGGTCTGGCTCTGGGTGGCAGGGCATGATCTCTGCAGCCCAGTATTACAAGAGCTGCCGGGACCTGCTGGGGGAGAACTTCCAGAAGATCTTCAATGAGCTGCTGGTGCTCCTGCCTGACACGGCCAAGCAGCAGGAGCTGCTGTCTGCACACACGGACTTCCGGGGCCGCGAGAGGCCTCCAGGCACCAAGGCAAAGAAGAAGAAGAGTGCATGGCAGGCGGGCCTGGACTGCTGCGTATGCCCCACCTGCCAGCAGGTGCTTGCACATGGTGACGTCAGCAGCCACCAGGCGCTGCATGCTGCCCGGGACAATGATTTCCCCTCCCTGCAAGCCATTGCCAGGGTCCTGACGTAGCTCCTGCTGGTATGGGCAGGGCTGCCATACCTGCAAGCCTTTCTCCTTCCTTCTCTTGGGCTGCTGGGCAGCCAGGCAAGGCCCTGGTGAGGCTGCCTACTGAGGCCTCTTGGCCAGCTGGCCCACTAGGGGTTGCCAGGAATGCCCAATCTACCCTCTTGGTACACTGTCACGCAGGAGTCCAGGAGTCCTTGGGACTGGGCAGAGATGGCCCCTGCCTCAGTGGTGGGTTGCTCTTGGTTTGTATTCTCATGTTTTTGGAAGATGCCAGGAGTGGGAAGGTCCAGGGTGCCAGAACCTGTCCATGCTGTCAGAGCCAGTGGCCACAGTGGGCTGGTCTGGGACCTCCTGAGCCGGAGGGCTGCAGTACTGTGGCCCCCCAGGCAGACATTGTGGGTCCCCCGGAGCTGGAGTCAGATACTGAGTGTGCTGTATAAACATTTGGTTGTTCCGTGATTGAAGAATGTTCAGGATTAAAAGGCTGACACGAAATTGTGCTACTTGAAGTTGAACCGTTTTACAAGATGGGCTGCATCTGGGATCTCAAATTGTCTCTGACCCTTTATAAGACAGTTTATCTTCAAATAAATTTATTTTGCAATAATGCACATAGCTGGTGTTCTGAGCTTCTCTGCCTTCCAAGGTCAGCCCACAGCCTGGGATGCTGAGCTCCCGGGCACCGCCACTCGGGCAGTTGGCCGCCAGAGGACACAGGTGGGGAGGAAGCGCCGTAGGACAGCCGGGCAGCTGGGCTTTGGGCCCTGCCCAAGCCTTCCAGGAATAGCCATGCTTGACCCGCTCTGTGTACCAGTAAAACTATCCTTCCAGAAAGTGGAGGTCATACAGACTAGTGAGAAAGCCACTGAAGATACACACAGTGGTGGGCATTAAGAAAATAGTTTGTATGTAATTATTTGGATCCAGTATTTTAGAAGACGACCAGACAAACAAATCTCCCCATTTCTCCCCCAAATATGTAAGTAGGGAAAAAGTTCTGAAGGCACAGCCACATCCAAATAAGGCAAAGGCGCCACCCTTGCCAAGCAGAGGCAGAGGTGTCTCGACGCAGCAGAGCTGCCTGTGGTGATGAAGGGGCCACAGCCACTCAAAGCTGAGGACATGCACAGCACTGTCTGCCCCTGGCTAGGGCGGAGGGGTTCCCGGGCATGCTCAGGGCCCACTAGGAGATGGCTGACCCATCACAGGCCGCCTGCGTCACCACCACGCACCATAAGCCCTGAGCTGGCGCCTTTTTCAAAGACCTGAGCACAACCGACCTCACAGGAGAGTGATCTGCAAAAGGGTAAAACTCATGAATGATATTGAAAATACCTTTTCAAGAAGCAAGAGCCACGGTAATACTAGGTGGCACTTGAGTAGCGCTTGCTGTGTGACAAGGCTTGCCCTTTATAGCTCTACATGTCTTTGCATGTACAGCTCCTTACATGTGCACACGTCACCCCTCATCTCACCCTGTGTGATAGGACTGTAACGGTTCTATTGCAGGCTGGGTGGGGAACCTGGGGTGTAGACAAGCTGAAACTTGCCCGAGATGACAAACTGTGAACATGGCAGCGCCAGCATTCCAGCTCCAGGAGGCCGTTAATTAGCAATCTTAGAAATGAAAAAGTAACTGAGATACAGATCCCAACAGACGGGCTCAGAAGTAAGTAAGACCAAGCTGGGGAAATTCCAGAGAACTCACTGGCCGTGAGACGCGGCTCTGGATGCTGCGTGCTGCACCTGAGGGGAGTCCTAGGACCAGAAGGTGGTGAAAAGGGGACGTTTGTAAAAATCATAATTTCTTTTCCAGCACTGAAACTGAAGAAGAAAAAGAAAAAAAAAAAGCACTAAGCATGATAATTTTTTAAAGACCCACATCTGGACACAACAGAACTTAAGAGAAAAAAAAGACTAAACATTATTACCAAGAAGAAACCTACAAAAGAATGTGAATTATCGTGGTTCTCATCAGCAGTATAGGGTCCTACAAGAGAAATACCTTCAACGTTCTAAGGAAAATGACATTTACGTGCCCTGTACAACTATCCTTCAAAAAACATGGGAGTAATACAAAGATTCGTCTACATCCACAGACTGATGAACTTCTAAACATATTCCGATATTCCAACAAGAAATATTTACTAGTCCTGCCATTATAAGAAGAATAAAAGAGGTGGGGGTCTCCCGAGCATTTCCGAGAGTCTGCTCTGAGCATATGTGGTGGGCTCAGGGACCTGGGGTCCCCAGAAGGCAGGCATCAGCCTGGCCCCCCACCTCTTTGCCCCTGCCTGGATTCTGGGCCCCAGTACCACTCAGATCCCAGCCTCTGGCACTGGAAGGAGCAGGGGTAGAAATGATTCCACAAGTGTCTTGGCCACAGTAAACTCACTCACAGTCTTTATTGTAAAGAAGCTGCAGTTGGAAGATGGGACACTGAAAACACACAATCACTGATTGTTCTTTCAGAAGAGGGAGGAAGAGATCCATATATACAAAAGTGTAAACATGTTCACTTAAATATCCACACATAATCGGTCTATGCTACAATGTACAGGGTTGTAACTCAACTGCAGCTCCAGAGGGAGGTGTCTGCCTGTAAGAATGAAATGTGGCAACCACACTTGGTATTGAAAAGCCAGCTTTGAGCAATGCATGAATAGCTAAGCAGAAGGACCTCAACTTTGGGCTGGGCCTTAAAACAGGGTGTGGAGTTAAGGGACTGGTTCTGGGAGCCAAGGTAAAGGGGTTTGCACAAAATTGCATCTCTGGGGTGCCATGAACAGTGTGACCTCTGACCTCTCCTTGAAAGGAGCTTGTCTTGCCAGGCACCTGGGTGCTCCCAGACTCCCTGTGGCTTCGTTGAAGGGCTTGGAGAGGGCTGGTGCCCAGGCCTGCAGCCATGTTGTGTCTTCCTGGCCAGAACTGCCCATACCTGGGCAGAGGCTACAGACAGAGGGGCTGCTTACGGGGAACTATGAGGTGAAGCCTGAAGACATGACCACAGCCACAACATGGCCAGGGCCAGGCTATGGAAGCAAGCCTATGAGAGGGCACGGGGAGGCTCCGGGTGAGCCACCGTCAAGGGAACAAGGACCGTCATGACCAACAGGGATGTGGGATGGGTAACAGTGGCCACTCTCCCTGGGTCATGGCATGGGGAGGAGCAGTGGAGCAGTGCCCCTGGGGATGGGGCAGCCCTGCACCTGGCTATGGAGGACAGCTGGACCCCTGATCCCAGAGCAGACAGGTGAGACCCAGACTGGCTGGTGAGGAGAATGGCCACCTGCTCAGGCTAGTCCACTAGAGGTTAGAGGGTAAGTGTCTAGGGCTGTGCATTCCCCTCCTCAGGACCTCAGGCCCAGGGCCAGCAGCTAAGCAGAGATCAGGGGAACTTGGGTGGGCACAGTCCAGTCACCCTGGGGGCTATCTCCTTTGGCCTCAGATGGTCCACACTGACCACCCCCTCTGTCACTGGCACTGGACCTAGAGGCCCTGCGATGGACCTTGCATTGATGGGGTGGCCTTCCAGCCATGGTCTGGGCCTGGTGGCCACTAGTAAGCTGGCACCTGGTACCCTTTGGGGCTGGTGTCCAGCGTCTCAGTGATGGGAGGGCTCTGGTAGGTCTCGGTGTCCTCTATGCTGCTGCCTACTGGGTAGCCGGGGTAGGCCTGGCCCGCCCCAGTGCCCAACTGTTCGGTGGCAAAGAGCGACATGTCGGTGCCCAGGCGGAACCGCTGCAGGGCCTTCACGGTGAGCGCCACCTGAGGGGAAGCCCGGGGTCAGCGGGTCGACCCCCAAAGCCGACGCCAACCCGCCCGGCCCCGCGCCGCGACCCCTGTCGGCGCACTCACCCAGCTAAAGATGGAGAAGAAGCTGAAGGCTATGGCGGCCCGCGCCGCGTCTCCCGCCTGCGCTGTGCCGGGCCCGGGCGCCGTGCGCTGCCACTGGTTGGTGAGGAAGCAGAAGCCCACGAACCACAGGAAGGACCAGAGCCCTGCGGACCGGCGGCCGGGTCACGCGCGGGGCCGGGGGCGCTGCCGCGGCGAGCGCGCCCCGCCTCCGCCCTCCCCGCGCGCCCCGCCCCTGCCCACCTGAGAAGCCCAGGTCCAGGAGCACCGCACGCCGGCGGTCGCGGACGCTGCTGATCTGCTGGAAGCGCGCGTCGAGCAGTAGGAAGGCGGCGCAGGCGAGGAAGGCCCCGAGGCCCAGCGCGACGCCGAAGCGACAGGCGCCCGCGTTCGCATTGAAGACGCAGCGCAGCTCGGGGCCGCTGTCGGCGTTCACGTAGCCCTCGTTGAGGATGGGCCCGAAGACGGCGATGGAGAACACCTGCGGGCGGCGGCGGGCGGCGCTCGGGGCCCTGCGTGCCCCTCCTCTCCCCGCCGAGGCCCGGGGCTCCTTTGAGCCCACGGGCGCCCACGCCCTCGAGCCTGTCCCTGAGTCTCCCTGCGGCACAGGGCCCTCCTCCAGCGGGGGGTCCTCGGGCACACCTCGCTCAGGTGTTAGGAATTATGGATAACGCGCATCACTTAGCATCTACTATGCCCAGGCACCGTGCTCAAAACCGCTCCTTGACGCGCGTGCGCTCACAGAATCCTCCCAGAAAACCACAAGGGTGCCATTGTTCTTATCCCCCTTAGAGATGGGTAAATCGGGGCACCAACAGGTGAAGTGACCTGTCCAGCATCACACGGCTGATAAGAGAGGGAGCTACCAAATTGGGTCCTCCGCGTGGGGTCCGTAGTGTCTCCCCAGGGCCCACTCAAGAGTTGGGAACAGGAGCCTTCGCCTGGACCAGTGACTTCCACACTGGACCCTGGAGCGGCAGGTGTGGAGCCAGAGGAGAGGGGCCGGAGCACAGGGCGGGCAGCGGAGAGACCACTGCCTAGAGCTGTCCTCCAGCCCCCGAGTAGAACATGCTTTCAGCATTTTGGGGCCCCTTACCCTGTTTCCTAGATGCCAAAAGCACTGTCAGGAACAGCTCGTGGGGTGTTGGGGACAGAAATAATGCCCACCCAGCAATCTGCTCTCGGTGGCACTGGAGGGATGGCCGCCCCGCGGGACTGGGATCCATTGATCTCATCCATGAGTGTTTGGGCCTGCTGCCCTCGAATTGAGTCAAACCCCAGCCCCTGTGCCCGGGGGGCTGGAAGGCAGGTAGGAGGTGGACCGCTGTCATTTTTAAACCACACGCTGTTCTTTTAGCTCTGGGGAGCCCTGTGTTTCTACAAAAAGACCCCCAGTTCCAACTTCAGTTCCCTCCTTACCACCCCTGCTCCCAGAGACTGCGTGGAGAGAGAAACGAAGGCAAAGGACAAGGGCACGTCCCCCCGAGAAGCCTGCAAGGCGGACCAGAACTGGGGCCAGACACGGGGTCATTACTTCCTGGTCTGGCCACTGGAAGACCCAGGCACCCTGCTCCACCCTGTGTACCACCCTCCTGGAAGCCCCGCTGGACACAACCTTGGACAAAACCTAGAACTCGGCAGCCCACTTGCCACCTCTCCCTGAAGGACAGGCGCAGGCCACAGGACTACGGATGCCCCGGGAGGCCAGGCTGCCTCCAGATCCGCCCCTCCCACGCCACCTCCAGGAAGCCCTCGCAGAGCAGAGTCCCTTCAGAATGCCCCACCCAGAGGGGGCCCAGAGCGCTCCCCCGACTCACAGTCGCGACTGGGCTTCTGGGAAAGGGCCAGCTCCTAGCTCCCTGCGAAGGAGGCTGGAGGGCGTGTGCGGGAGAAGCAGGGGGGGCTCTGCTGACCCTCTTGGCTCCAACAGCCCCCTCCTCCTGCTGAGGTTGAGGGCCCAAGCCCCTCGCAAACCCCGTCCCCGCTTCCAGGTCGTGAGAACAGGGAAAACGGAGCGAGGAGCTACGAGTTAGACCTAAGGAGGAATTCGGGGGCGGGGGGCAGCGGGCGGTGACCTCTCAAGGTCCCCGGCTGTCCCCGCCGGCCCCTCCCCCGCCCGCAGGTGGGCGCGCCCGGCCCGCTGACGTCACCCCAACCGGCGGCCGGCGGGGGAGGGGCCGGCGAGGAAGAGGACGGGGCGAGGGGCGAGGGGCGAGGGGAGGCGCAAGCGAGGCGAGGCCAGACGGGGTCAGGTACGAGGGCGGGGCCCCGGGCCACTCACCCAGGACGCGACCCGCAGCAGAGTCTGGGGCCGCCGCGCGAAGCTCACGGGGTCCAGGGCGGCCCCCGCGCGGCCCGCGCCGAACGAGGCTCCCTCCATCGCCGGCCCGGGCGGGTCACGTGCCCCTGGCGCCCTCTGTCCGACTGTCGGTCCGACCGGCCCCGCCCGAGGCCGCTCAGGACTGCAGCTGATGCTGCCGGTGCCGCCGCCGCCGCCTCCCGGGAGCGCGCGCCGGCCGAGGCGGGGGCGCGCAGGGCGGGGCCGAGCCCGCGCCCCCCACTGGCCCACGCGCGGGGGCCGGAGCCCTCCCGTCCGCCCCTCCCGCCTTCCACCCCCAGCGTCGCCTTAAGGCGGCAGGGTTGAGATGGAGACCACCAGCCACCAGGTCCCCATCAAGGCGCACGAGGGGCTGGGACGTCCACCGCCCCTCATCAGGGGAGTCGGACACTGGGCCCAGCCTTTTCAGTAGATGGACGGATGGACCTGGCTCCGCTCCTCGGAGCAGAACCGTCTCCTGTGCACGGACGTCACCAGGCTCAAGGGCTCCTGCGTCTTCGCCCAAGCTCAGGTAAGGGGAACCCAGGTCCCCAGCCCTGGTCTCTGCCTGGACCAGAGAAAGGTTACTGGAGCCTTTCCCACGACCCCCCAGTGCACCCCAGCTTCTCCTTTAGAAGGTTCTGGCCTGACAGGGAGAATGGCCTCTGCCCCAGGAGCACTTGTCCAGGTGGGCAGCATCAGGGAGAGCTGGAGCCTGTCTGCTCTTTTCCTGAGCCGCAGGGGCGCTCAGTGAGCTCTCCAAACTCCTGGGTCGCCCTGGCTGGTGGCTGTTTAGTTTGGGGTGGAGCGCTGGGAAGAACATCAGATGGGGAGTTTGGCCAAGCTGGGGGCCCTGGCTGCCCTGAGCCCCTCCCTGCTGGGTCTCCCGCACAGACCCCAGGCCCTGGTTAGCCAGGGTCCCTTCAAGCACTTCCCTGCCAGCTCAGCCTGGCAGTGGCCTGGTGACTCCTGTTTCTGTCCAGGGCACTGATAAGAAAGGAGATTTGCAGTGCCCAGTGCTTGATCACCAGTGGAAGTAGGGACTGTTTTTACCCCGTTTCAGATGGTGAACAGGCAGGCCGGTTGAGCTGCTCCATCACAGAAGCGAAGAGCTGGGCTTCAAACCCAGGTCCCTGCAGAACGCTAATATGGACAGCAGGTGGCGCCCGCAGCCCCTGGGAAGCTCCAGGCAGGGCAGGTGTGGCCAAAGGTGCCACCAGCCAGTCTTAAGGCAAATCCGTCGCACTGCATCCAATCCTGTCACCTCTTACCTGTCAGCTACAGTTCCCCACCTGTCTCTGCACCACCCACTTCCCCCTTTTACTGGATCATTTCCATCAGCTTTCTTCTCTCTCAAAACAGACCTCCATGTTAACCTCATTTCCTGCCACGGCTGTCCCACAGCTCTTCTCTTTAGTCCCTCTGGCAATCCAGACACTGCCGTCCGCACCCTCCTGGGAACGCTCCGGATCCGACCTCATGTTCCTCCTACTTCATAGGCCCTTTCTTATCGCCGCTCTGGGGCTCCCTCCCCCTGGGCAGCCCGAGAGGCCCCAGGGCGTGGTCCTGGGCTCTTCTCCCTCTGAGCTCGGTGCTGACAGTCTGGGCCAGAACTTTCCCTTGAACCAGAGTTCCATTTGTCTCAGCCTGGATGCCACGGAAAACAGAGTCTGAGGCAAAGTTGAGCTTTATTGGGGGTGGGGTGGAAACTTCAGGAAAGGCAGAGTCAGGGAACAGGGAAGTGAGGCCGGGCGGGAGGGCCAGGGGTAAAGGCGGGGGTGGTCCCGCGCTGACCACAGCTCTGTCAGAGAAGCTGGCTGCTTCCCCAGCACACGGGTGACTCGGGAAAGGCCAGAGAGCAGCCCTGGGCCAGGAACAGTTCACCTGGGGCAAGGCCGCAGTTTCTCTGCTGGGCGCCTGGCCCCTCCGGAAAAAGGCAGCTCCCCTGTGGGGCCAGGTGCTGCAGGTGCACAGGGGGCCATGCCAAGGGTTGGCCCTTGCCCAGAGCAGCTTCTCGGCCACATGGTGCCTGGCCATGCTGCCTCATTCTAGCTCAGCAGCTGGAGGGACCTTTCAGAAGTACACCTCACCATTCCTGGGCTCCGAATCCTCTAAGACCTTGTCACAGGAGCTGGAGTTAGAAACCACATCCTTGCTGGGGCCTCAAAGACCTCGTGCCATTTGAGTTCCCCTCACTTCTCAGCTCCAGAAGCTTGGTCTCCTTGCTGTTCCTGGAATGTCCACTTCTGCCTTGGGACCTCTCCCTGCTCCCGAGGAGCCGGAATGCAGACCCGCAGCAGCAGCTGAGCACAGAGGGGCAAGGGCAAGCCCCGCCCACCACTGTAGGTCCCGAAACAAACACAGGCTGAAGCCAGGCCCCCCGTCACTTCTCCAGCATTTTTTCTTCTCAACGCCCTGAGGAAGGTGGCCCCATGAAGCCTGACAGGTGCTGTGGTACAGCTGTGGAAGACATGTGCCAACAGGGCGCAAGTGGCAGGGTCGGTGTGTTCTCCCTGAAGTGCACACAGCACACAGGCTTGCAGGCTACAGTCCCTGCAGCTGTTGCTAGCTACATGGGGACACAATGCAGGGCAGGGGAGCCAAGCCAGGCCTGTCGCCTTCCTGTGCAGTAAGTGGACACCAGGGTGTGGTGCGAGTAGGAGGCTGTATCCTGAATGGAACAGACAGCCTGAGCTGCTCCCACCTCCTTCACCTGCAGTCCCACAGGTCCTCCGCTGAGGAGGAGGTCATCAGCGTGCCTATCAGGGTGGGTGCAGTGGGTGTGTCTACTTGGCCAGTGGCTGGGGACTCAGACTAAGAGACATAGGCTTGGGCTCTACACACTTTAATGAGGGCCCCATCCCTCTCCCACTGGGCCACGTGCAGTGGGCCCTGGCCAGAGGCCCCACAGGCCCCAGTGCCACCATCTAGTCACATGAGCCATCCTTCCAGCCATCACGCCAGCGCTCGTCCACCTGCGAGCAGTCGAAGTCTGGCTTGCCTAGCTTGCGGTTCACCTCGTTGTGCAGACGGCATAGCCACTGGGTGAGGTTGGCCCGCGTGCGTGTGTCTGGCTGGTTCCTGCATATCCTGCATGGGAGGAGCACAGGGAAGATGGGGTCATGGTCCCACTGCCTCTGCCCCACCAGCTTGTCTGTTCCGTCCAGGAGGAGGGCTGGGGCACTACTGTGAGCTGCACCCAGGAGTGCCTCTATGCTCTGAGAGACAGCAATTCCTAGGCCAGGGCTGTCCCTGCAGCATCCAGGCAGCTAGCCCTGCTGAAATCCCAGCCTGGGGAGCTTGGCAAACCCTGACAGAAGCCCAGAGCAAGACAGTAAGGCACAGACGAGACAACTTTACAACCTCATAACAATCAAAAAGCCTCAGCCCAGCATCCTTGGCCGGGGGCAGTATGTAAAAGGGGTGGGGCCAGCACAACTGGAAATCAGACCTGTTTCATAGCACCTGCTGCCCTGGTGCTTCAGCTCAGCCAGGCACCTGGTTCTAACGGCCCAGACTTTCAAATGCCACAGGCTGCCCTGCCCTCCACATCCATCTCAGAAACCCCTAAAGGTGCCAAACAACATCTCTTGGGCTTTTCAGCGAAGAAACAGTGGCTCTGTAAGTCAGGCAAAGTGGAGGCCCTTAACCTGCCAGAGCCTCCAGAGCCTCCATCTGTGCTAAGCAAGGGCCCTCATGGCGGAAGCCCTCCCTGGGAGCCTTGAGGCTGCGAAAAGCGCAGCCCCAGGCAGCTGGGCTTCTGAGGAGAAAGGAGAAACTGAGATGACCCAACCCCCACTCTGCTGGCGGTCCCTGTTTTCACCAACCCTCTGCACCTTATTTCTCTAGGCTACCCTTGATGACATCAGCAAGGGGCCCCAGGCCAGGCTCCAGGTGGGCGCTCTGCCACCTGCAGACAACGCAGACTCAACTCACCTCTGCCTTATGTCTTCAGCACACTCTTCACACGGGTAAAACTTGGAAAATAAGTGTATGAATTGGGCCATGTCTTGCTGCTCTTCTGGGGTAGGCAGGTCGGGGTAGTAGGCAGCCAGGGTGTGGAGGACAGCCCAGCTGTGGCGGCCCAGTTCTTCGCGATCCTGAGGGCAATCTTCCCTAAACTTGTCCCGCTGCGGAAGGAGGCCGACCTAGGGTCAGTTAAGTCTCCCGGCCAGAAGTCTGCAAAATTCCCTTTTTCTGCCCCAGCCAAAGACCCACTGACTCCGGACGGAACTACTGCGGCCGATCAGGCCCACAGACGGCTGAAAGCTGGAAGGCCGGAACTAGCTTGGGGTCAAGGTGCAGGGACAGCCAATTCTGGGGGGCATAAAGCTGCCCAGTGTGGGGCCCGAGAGACCGCCTGGCTTGGGCCTCGGAGGTCGGCCCGAGCGCCTGGGAATCACGGGTGGGGGCCGCGGGCAGGGTGCGGGCGCGCGCCGGGCAAGGGGTCGGCAGGGCTCGCGGGCCTCTGCGGGAGGTGGCGTCCCCGAGCACCTGCACCTTCTGCTGCGACCGCATCCACGCCCTGAAGTCCACGCAGGCCCTGCAGGGCCGCCGCCGGGAGGTGTCCTCCGCGACTTGAGAGTCGGAGGTCGGGGCCCGGGCTGGCGTCGGCGCCGAGGCGGTGGCATCTCTCCGCCCCGCGCCCCGGCCCCGCGCGTCCGTCCCCAGGTCGTCCATCTCGGAGCGAGCACCGCCGAGTAGGAAGGAGAAGAAGCTCCCACCACGGAAGCGCCCTTGCTCGCCGGGCGCCGCCATGCTGCCCGCGCAGCGCCTGCCGGGCCGGCTCGGTCTCCAGGCCGGCGCGCGCGCCCCCGCCCGGGCGAGGCCCCCGGAGGCGGGCGCGGAGGCGGGGCCTGAGGCCCGGGTGCTGGGCGCGCCCGACCTGCGTTCGTGGCGGCGCCCCCGCCTCCTCCAGCAGAAGATCAGTGTGTTGCGGAAGGCGCGCCGCGGCCGAGACGAAGTCCGTGGTGCTTCCCGCGACGCCCCCATCGTTCCGCTCAGACCGGCCCGCGCGCCCGCGTGCCCGCGTACCCTCGGCCGGGGGCGCGCCGCCATACAACGCGGGGAGGGCCCGTGAGCGCATAGAGGCCGGCGCGCGTGCCCGCGGGTCCGCCCCTTGGCCGGGAGCCTGGCAACGCGGGCGGGGTGGGGCCTGGCCCGGGCGGCGCGCTGCTCGGCTCCGGGAAGCGCGGAGCGGCCCCGGGCACTGCTGCGTCCTGCTGTGCATTGTCTCATTCCGTGAGTGTGTGTGTAGCTGCTCATCTGTGCCCTGTTCCATGCGCGGGGCAGGCTTCACAGACCGCTGGGCAAGACGGAAATAAAATAAAGGACCTCCCAACAGACGTTCACTTACAAACTGTGGTGGGGGCCAGAACGGGGCGTGGTGAGTCCGGAGGCCCCCCTGAGGCGGCCACAGGTCCGAAGGGTGAGGAGCCATCTGGGGACGGCGATCAAGGCCAAGGCCAGAGGAGGGGAGGTCTTGGACCCCTGCGTGGGCAGAAAGACCAGTGGGGACGGGACCTGGGGAAGGTGGTGGGGGCAGAGATCCGGAGGTGGGCAGAGGCCTAAGACCGCGTCAGCTGTCCGGGGCTGGGAATTGATTTGAAGGACCGGGGGACGGTGCTGGACAGTTCTGGGAAGGGCTACCCTGACCTGATCCCATTTGTTTTGCAAAGGCTCCTCTGAAAAGAGGATTTCATGGAGCAAGTGAGGAGCACAAGCGAGGAGGAGGGGCTTGTTGTAGGTGTCTAGGTGAAGGATGAAGAAGGGGCTACGGCCAGGGACATGGGAAAGGACGCAGGGTGCAGGGGAGTGGGGCAGGGCCACGTAGGGGGCCCACCATCCTTCTGTGGCTCTGGTCGTTGAGTAACTGGCCCTTCCCTAGCTTCTCTCCCCTGTTCTCCAGGGGAGCAGGGTCAGGGTCTGTCCTACCCTAGATGCTGCCAGGCCAGCTGTGCCCTCAGCATGACCCCCAGTAAGACTGGAGAGAGGGTGACAGGTGGGCTGCAGGCACTCTGCAAATCAGGCCCATGTCACCAGGTGCTCACTGTTGTCTGCCTTCCTTGTTATCTGTGGTGCAGGCCGCAGCTCACTGAATCTAAACCAAGATCTGTTTCTTGTTATCTCTACCCCGTCATCGCCTGGCACCAGGGCCGACTTGCCCCAGCGACCTAGAGTAAAGCATGTTAATCACTGTGTCTAGAAACTTGTTAACCCACTCGAGAATGTGATGCCTGATCAATAAACATGAGAGGTGCCTTTCCAGCACCACTCTCGAGCTGGTGTGCCTCGAGTCCCCTGGCTGGCCCGCTCAGGTCTTTGATGCCTCATCGCGTCGCCTCCTTTACCTGCAGGTCGGAGACGGGAGGAGGCCGACAGACCGCTATGAGCCGGGGTTGGGTGGTGCTCCGTGAATCTCCCCTATAAGCAAGCAGTCCAGAGATGTGGGGAGCACTTGGCATGTCCTCTATTACAGCCTTCCCTTCACCACTCTGGTGAGTGGGAGAATGGTCACTTCCGATCTCAAAGTCTGCATTTGCAGTAAATTGATGTAAACATGAATTTAGAGATGGCTCTCAAAACAGTCCTAGTCACCACCGCCTCCACCCCCCAAGTGCCAGTGACTGCAAGGCTGGACCCTTTTCATCCTGCCCGTCACCCACCACGGAGGAACCTGTAGTATGAGGTCTACCCTTCTCCAACACATACAGAAAAGCTAACATAATTCTCTGCTTAACACAAATGCCTTCCTCTGTGACTTGGGGACACTTACCTTTCCTCCAATGTTGGGACTGAGCCAAAAAAAAAGTGTTTAAAGCCCTTAGCACTGGGCTGTGGCTCCCCAATGACAACAGCAGTGAGCTCCCAGGGAGTTCAGAGGCGGAGCCACGGATGCGCCCTGACAGGAGGGTCCCACTAGTCCCCGCCCTGCCCGGGGGTGGGGGATGGGGGGTGGGGGGAAGGAGGCACGGGCCAGGCCCGCAGCACTTCGCTGGCGCTCCTCCCCCCTCCCGCGCCGGCCTCCAGCGGGAGGGTCCGGGCCAGCAGTCCCAGCCACACCACCGTCTCTGCCCCGCCTCCCCCTTCCCCAAGCTCCGTGCTCCTGTCCCTCCAGCCAGACCCTCAGCTTGGGGTGCAGTGAGGAAACTGAAGGACCCAGGGGCAGGGCAGCACGGCAAGGACCTGGCAGGTGTGGGGCGTCCGCGGGGAATTCCGACCAGTCTTCCGGGTGCCCCCTTCCTCCCTCTGCGGGCAGGGAGGCAGTGGGACCCTTGGCAACATCCTGACGGCTGCAGAACCCCAGGACCGCGACCTGTGAGCCCGCAGCGGTGGCGACCCCCCGGCACCCGGTGTCGCTGCGCGCATCTGCTCTGGTGCAGACAGCGCGGTTCCAGGTACGACTTACTGGGCCCCTGCCCGCCCCAGGGGGAGGGAATAGTTCCCGGCCCCTCCGAAATGCCCCAGCCCTTCCTCCAACAGACGTTCGCCTTCTCTGTGCGCTGGTCCGACAACAGCGACACCTTCGCGCGCAGGAGCTGGGACGAATTCAGGGGGCTCCATGTGAGTAAGCGCGGGGACCCCGGCTTCCTCCTACGGTAGGGCTGACCAGGGACCCCGCCCGAATGCCCGCCCTCGTGCCGACAAGAGCTTCCAGTCCCTTCCGTCCGGAGCCCCACGGACTCTGAGAGACCAATATGCCGGCTTCCGCCTTCAGAGGACGCTGAAGGAGGGCTTCCCGGTGGAGGCAGGCCTGCTGAGGAGATCCGGCCGCGTTCTCCCCAGGCTTCCCGGTCAGGCCAGCCAGGGACCCCCGGCAGCGGCGGGCATCGGCCGTGGGGGGTGTCCCGATGGGAGTCCCACGGCCCGCCCCCGTCGCGCCCGCAGACGCCTTGCTGCCGTTGCGCCGAGGGCGCGTGGGCCGCGGCTTGGAGCACCTGCGGCTGCTGGAGGACTATCTGCGGGCGCTGGTGGCACGCGTGTCCCGGAGCCCGGCGCTCACCGACTTCCTTGAGCCGCACGCCCTGGACCTGGAGCCCGCCCTGTCTCCTGGCAGGTGCCCGACCTGCCCGCAGCTCCGCGGAGGAGCAGGGAAGGGCCTATGAGGGGCTGCGGCGGGGGGCGGAACGGGTTCAGGAGGGGTGGCAGGCCGATTCGCACACTTCCCGCTCACCTCCTACCTGCACCCGCTGCCCTCCCCAGCCTGGTGATCCTGCCCGCGCCGGAGGAGCCCCCTGCGCACCCCGCAGGCAGCCCTTCCATCCGTGGCCTGGAGCCCCAGAGCCTGTGCTGCCTGCAGCCCTTCCACACTCAGGACACGCGGGGTCGGCTGTTCCACGCGCAAGCCCAAGAGGCCCTAGAAGTGCTGCTGCGACACCCCTCAGGTGGGGCACAGGAATCTAGGGGCTCGTGCTTCTGCCGTGATGCCAGCGGGCTTCCTGATCTGAGGCCCCATGCCCCTCTTGCGCACAGGATGGTGGCTGGTGGAGAACGAAGGCTCCATACCTGAAGGAGGCAGGCCCGGGCCCAGAGGCATGGCCCCTACGAGGCAGTGGTATCAAACTGACCCTCCTCCTCACGCCCACCACCGGGCACTGCGCAGCAATGCGGGGCTACAGGAACCACCTGAGCTGCAGTGGGAGGCCTAGGGACTAGGTGGCAGGGGGCCTGTAACAGGTGGTGGCACCCACAGCGAGGGGCAGCCCCATGGTTTTGTGTGGTCAATGATGTTAGTGGAGGACCTGGAAGGGACAGAGAGCTGTGGGCCCTGGCCTCTGGTCCTGTGGCAACGCCTTAAATGTCCACTCCCAGGGTCCCAGTTCTGTGCTTCCCGGGCCTACGAGAGCAGCAACGCGGACGAGCTTTCGGTGCCAGCGGGGGCACGTGCCGACGTGCTGGAAACCTCAGACCGTGGGTGGTAGCTGTGCAGGTGCGTGAGGGTGGGGCTTTGGGGGGCCCGGCCCGCACTGGTCTCCTCCCTGCTCTGCTGCTGAGGCCTGACTGGCTGGGTGCGGTCCTGGGCGTCTCAGGGCCCCACCTCCGGGCTGACGCAGTGCCGGCGAGGCCGGAAGGTCCCTGGAGTCCACACAGGCCACGACCCTTACCCCTGCCGTGCCTGCCAGACCCATGCTGAGTGTTATTCAAAGCCGCTGTTGTACCATTACCAGGAGGGCGCTGGGGCAGGACCCAGAGGGTCAGGGACCCCCTTGAAGGTGTGTGGAACCAAATGGGGGGCCCTGCTGTGCACCGTAGGGCGTGACTGGTAGCAGCCATCCCATCCCATCCATGCTGGGTGGGAGAGCACCTGAAGTGGGGGTCTCCAGCTGGTACCATTTCCCCCCAGTAAACCTCTCCTGATGACCCACTGCAGTCCTGTGTGAGGGGCCTGCTGGATGCTGGCCAGGGGCAGGGAAGCTAGCCAAGGCTGGGGCCTGGCACCTGGGGTAAGACAAAGCCCAGACACAAGAAGCCGGGGTGGAAAGGTACACCTTTCTATATGTTTTAGAGAGCTGCGGGGGCGGTGTGGAGGGTGGGCAGCTTCATGCTGTGCCACAGGAAGTCCAGGAAGGTGGCCGCCTGCAGTGTCCGGCCAAGCCGCTGGAAGTGCCGCTCTGGGGAGGACAGGGCTGTCAGGGCTCCATGGAGTCTGGCAGGGCTGCTCCCTACCACCCAGGGCAGCTGCCCACATACCAGTGTAGGGCAGCAGGGCCTCCAGTGAGGCCCGCACACCCTCATAGGCCAGCAGCTCCTCTGGGGCCTCATGCCTCAAGAGCACACCCAACACAGCCTGGGCTTCGTGGCAGTGCCTTGAGTTGGTGTTCCACGTGACACAGAAGCGCAGCAAGGCCTCTGCAAGCGACAGGGAGAGTCAGGCGTCCCCCAGACCACCCTGCTCTTACCAGGCCATTGCCCAGCTCCACATGCCCACCCCAAACCTTTCTGGTCTCGCCGCAGTCGGAGCACAGTGGCTTCCAGTTTCTCGCAGGCCTCAGGGTCCCTCCGGATGGCTGTGCAGGGGAGCGAAGATTGAGCCTGGGGAAGGGGCACGGCAAGCCCAGGGGACCCTCTGCCCAGCCGGCCCCCAGGGCAGCACTGACCCTGGACCACAGTGAGCACGGTGTGTGGCCAGTCCAGGGAGATGGCCAGGCCCAGCGCACGCAGGTACCTCTTCTCGTGGAGCAGGTTGTCTAGTTCCTGCTGCCTAGCCCGGAAGAAAGGAGAACAGGGCTGCTGGGGGCCTGGCCAGGACTGGCGACAAAGCCACTGGGGCGCCGCCCTGGGAGTCAGCAGCCAGGGCCTGAGCACCCATTGGAGATGGCTGTCACCCACCTCTAAGCCTCAGTCTCCCCATGCTATAAAGCAGGGGTGATGCAGATACCCGGCCCCAGGAAAGGGATGGCACTGATGCACAGGTCATGCCAGACTTGTGGCGGCACACATGATGAGGGCTGAGTGGGGAGCCCCAGACTCACTTGACCAACTGTTCCTCCCGCTTGGCCTGCTCCTCTGCTTGCTCCACCTCGGTCACGTCCTGGGGTCAGATGGGTCAGATTGGCACCCGTGCTGCTGAGCCCCCCACTCGCTCCCTGAGTCCACACACCTTCCAGAGGATGATGCAGGAGTCGCTGGCACCAGTGAGGGCACGATCATCCAGCCGGCTGCAATGCAGCCCCCAGACCTTGTCCTCATGGGCGTCCAGCGTCCTCACACACTCGTTGTTCTTGATGGTCCAGAGCTTCACAAGTCCGTCAGAGCCTCTGGGTTTGAGATGGGGAGGGGCTTCAGCACTGGGGCCTGTCCCTCAGCTTCACCCGTGCCCTGCCGCCAGCCCACTCACGTGGACAGGAGCTGTGTGCCGCGGCTCACAAAGGCCACCTTCAGCACGGAAGCATCGTGCCCCTCGAATGTCTGCAGGGAAGGGAGGAGGAGGGCATAAGATATCACCGGGTGGGGGGCCAGGCTTAGGGCAGGGGTGGCTTACCTTGAGGCAGCTGAAGTCCTGCAGTGCCCAGAGCTTGATGGTGCCATCGGCTGAGGCTGTGGCCAGCACCTGGTCCATGGGTGAGAACTGGACACACCAGAGGCCACGCCGGTGGCCCGAGAAGACACCTAGCAGTTGGCACTGTGGCAGGGCCCAGAGCTTGGCCGTGCGGTCCTGTGAGCCTGTGGCTAGCAGCTTGTCATTGGGGGCAACGGCCACACTGTTGATGTCCTGGTGACAGGAGCACGCAGCAGCTCAAACCCTATCCAGTGGGGACCCTGCCACACCCCTGCCCCAGCATACCGTACAGTCACCTTGTCATGGCAGCGCTGTGTGACCTGGGCCTGGAGGAGGACAGGGCCACTGTCTGGGGCTAAGCTTTTGGACAGCAGGGCGCTGGGGAGAGGCCACAGCTTTACTGTGCAGTCCTGGCTGCCCGTTACCAAGAAGGTCTCCTTCAGCCTGAGGCCCAATTTGGGGGGAGGGAGAAACACGTGCTGAGCCCCAGCCAGTCCTGTCTGCCAGTGCACCACCGCCCAGGCATGTAGGACCATAGTCTAGACCAGAGGGACTGCCCCAGGATGCAGACAGTACATGTCATCCCCCACCACTGGGACCACCTGCCTGCTCTCCAGCCTGCACCCACCACCCTTGGTCCCACCATACCTGGTGATCTGGTGTCACCTTCTCCACCTGGGTTTGTTCAGTATCATTCTTTCTGCCCTGTATCCACCCAGTCCCAATGTTACTTCCAGAGGAAACCCCCCCCCCACTGGTGCCTGGGGGAACCCCTGGCCCGTTCTCTGTTCCATATCCCTGGGCTGGGGCTTTGAGGAACAAGGCCAAAGCCTCCCTCTGCATCTCCCTGAGCAGGGCCCCCATCAGCAGGGCCTGGGCCTCTGAAGCACCACTGACCCCAGTCCTGGCCCGCTACCTAGAGCAGCAGATGGCACCCACGCTGTGTGTGTGCCCTGAGCCCTGAGCCACACGGGTCACCTCGCCAGCCTTGTTCATCCTCCAGATGCAGATGCTCTGGTCCTAGGGATGGAGGGGTTAAGGAGAGGGTGGGCTGGGCTTCCCCACCCGAGGACCCGTGGTACCACACCTCTTAGGTGCCTTACTTTGGCACAGCTGGCAAAGAGCCACCCCTTCCGGAACACATCCAGAGCCAGGACGATGTCTGGGAAGAAGTGGAGGGGAAGTGGTCAGAGATCAGTTACGGCAAGTGGGGACAATCAGTCCAGGCTGGGGTCTGGTAGTGTCAGCCTGGCACCCTCACCTGTGTGGCCATGGAGAATCTGGCAGGCTGACGTCTGCAACTCAAACACTTTCAGGCAGGGGCTGTTGGAGGCCACGACAACGTGGGAGTCCTCGGGACCGAGAAACCGGACGTCCAGAACCTCCTCACTGTAGCCAGCAAACTGCAGGGCAGAAGGGACACAAGCCAGACCCACATGAGTGGAGGGCCAGTGCCCCAGCCGTGGGCAGAGCAGGGGCAGCACCCACCTGCTTCTGTAGCTGTAGGGAGCGAGCCTCGTACAGTAGCAGGTTGTGGTCGGCAGTGACGCTGAGGACCAGGCCAGCGGCGGGGACCAGCGAGCAGTGGGTCAGCTCCTGCCCGGGGCCTGGCCGCCGCTGCTGTGTGTACACACACTGCCCCGAGGCTGCCTCCCATACACGCAGTGCGCCTGTGCGGGGACAGGGGCTGCTGGGATTCAGATCTGCATGCCTCCCCCGGCCCCAGCTACCTGCCCTGGCGGGGCCCCGCACACCTTGGTCGCCAGCTGTCAAGAAGTGCAGGCCCGTGGACGTCACACCCAGCTCGGGCGCCAGCTCCTCTGGCAGCAGCACTGCAGCCTCCACGCTCTGCGGTTGAGAGGGTCAGGAGGCAGCAGCCCCCACCTCCCTGCCCGGCCCCACTCACTGGCCCCGGTCCCTTGCCACCCCCACCTCAAACACTGGCACGGTCCTTGTTGCCTGGTGGGTCCGCAGGTCCCAGACAACGCAGATCTTGTCTCGGCCTGAGCTGGGGGAAAACAGCCACGTCAGTTTCCAAGTCTCAGCTGCAGCCCCCTCAACCCCTGCCAAGGCTGGGCGGCCAGCTGCTAACCTGAGCATGGTCTGGCCACCACCAGTAAAGGTCAATGAGGTGACAGTACTGTAGTGGGCAGTTAGCACCGCCAGGCACGACCGGTCCTGGAGAGACCACACGCGTATGGTGGCATCTATGGATGAGGAGAAGAGCAGCAGACGTGCAGGGTCCGGGTGGAAGGCCACCAAACTGCAGGCAGGTGGGGTGGGGCAGGTGAGCTGTGCCACCCTGGTCGTGTTGCCCTGCCCGCCCGCCCTCCACTGGCACTCACTGTACAACACCCGGCGAGCCCCGAAAGTGGTGTGTCCCGTAATGCCGCACAATGTCCCAGACGCGCACAGCCCCGTCACAGCCACCTGTGGGGACGTGTTTGAGGGGAAGGGACTGGAGTGCCAGAAGTCCCCTGCCGCTGTGCTCTCCAGCCAGCACACCCACCCGGCCAAGGGGCCTCTACCTGTGGCTAGCAGCGTGGAGACGGGGTCAAAGGCCATGCTGGCCACAGGGGCTGTGTGTACTGCCTTCCACAGGCGGCTGATGCTGCCCTCTCGCCAGGCCCACTGAGCCAGCAGCAGTGCCCGGCTGGCACTCACCAGCACCTGGGGGAGGATGCATTTCAGCTGTGGGTACAAGCACGGCCACCCATCCTCATGGACTCAGAGTCTGGCTGGGAGGTACTGGAGCCCACCTCCTGTCCCTGCTGCACATACCGCATCATCGGGACTGAGCACGAAGGCAGTGATGTCCTCCTGGTCCTCCTAGGAGCAAGAGAGGACACATGGAGCACCAGGAGAGCAGGCTGCTCTCCATACCAGTCCCTCACCTGGCTCTCCCCAGCTCACCTGCTCCAGGCTCTGCAGCACAGCCCCTGAGGCCACGTCCAGGATGTTAACTCTGGTACCACAGACACAGAAGAGGTGCTGCCCAGTCTGGTCCAGCTGGAGACAGAGGGGTCTCAGCCAAGGTAACACTCTGCAGCCCTTGCCCACCCCACTGCTCTGACCCTCCTTGAGCTGGTACCTGCACCTTCCCGCCCTTGTAGAAAGGCTCGATCTTGCGCTCGACAGCATAGCTGGAGGGAAGACAGGGAAAGAGAGTGAATCGCCCACTGCTGGGTCCCCAGTGCCCAGCCCCATGCTGCGTGTTCTCCCAGAGGTCAGTGCAACAGGCCCTTGCCCTTGAGGAGTTTCTGGCCGGCAGCAGGGATGCGCGTGCAGAGCGGAGGTGCTGGTGATGAGCTCTTCTCGTTGTTAGCTACAGTGGGTGTTGGTACCCCCATGCTACAGAGCACCTGGCCCAGAGCTGGGCACTGATCTACACAGCACAGCCAGTCCCACAGCCCAGTCTCCCCGGAGTTCCTCCACGATGGAGAAGACCAGACCCTGGGGGCCCCTTACTGGCCGTGGGAGGCCAGGCCTGGTACCACAGCCAGGAGCAGCATCCTCAACATCTGCGCCCCTGAAGCCCAGCCTCCCTCTTCCCCAACCCTGGCTCCCTCCTCCATCTCCAGCCTGGCCTGCATCCTGCTCCCCAAGCAGCCTTCACTTCTGTGGCCTCGTGCTGGCCTCTTCCCTCCCTCTTGGCTGCCTCCATGCTGGTCCCGGCCACTGCACTCTCACATCTGGCTGCCGCTCCAGCCTCTTCTCCAGGCCCCTTCCCACTCTCTCAAATCCTGCTACCAAAGGGGCCTTTTAGAACATAACTGTTCACGTCAGCACCCTGCCTTAGCCCCCCTCCCCCTTACTTACATGTTTTGAAGACTGCCTGGCTAGAGGAGCCTCTGCTGCCCCTTCCTGCCTCACACAGGCTGCTCCTGGTATGTGGCCCGTGCTTCTCTTCCCAAAGTGAACCCATGCTGAGTGTTATTCAAAGCCGCTGTTGTACCATTACCAGGAGGGCGCTGGGGCAGGACCCAGAGGGTCAGGGACCCCCTTGAAGGTGTGTGGAACCAAATGGGGGGCCCTGCTGTGCACCGTAGGGCGTGACTGGTAGCAGCCATCCCATCCCATCCATGCTGGGTGGGAGAGCACCTGAAGTGGGGGTCTCCAGCTGGTACCATTTCCCCCCAGTAAACCTCTCCTGATGACCCACTGCAGTCCTGTGTGAGGGGCCTGCTGGATGCTGGCCAGGGGCAGGGAAGCTAGCCAAGGCTGGGGCCTGGCACCTGGGGTAAGACAAAGCCCAGACACAAGAAGCCGGGGTGGAAAGGTACACCTTTCTATATGTTTTAGAGAGCTGCGGGGGCGGTGTGGAGGGTGGGCAGCTTCATGCTGTGCCACAGGAAGTCCAGGAAGGTGGCCGCCTGCAGTGTCCGGCCAAGCCGCTGGAAGTGCCGCTCTGGGGAGGACAGGGCTGTCAGGGCTCCATGGAGTCTGGCAGGGCTGCTCCCTACCACCCAGGGCAGCTGCCCACATACCAGTGTAGGGCAGCAGGGCCTCCAGTGAGGCCCGCACACCCTCATAGGCCAGCAGCTCCTCTGGGGCCTCATGCCTCAAGAGCACACCCAACACAGCCTGGGCTTCGTGGCAGTGCCTTGAGTTGGTGTTCCACGTGACACAGAAGCGCAGCAAGGCCTCTGCAAGCGACAGGGAGAGTCAGGCGTCCCCCAGACCACCCTGCTCTTACCAGGCCATTGCCCAGCTCCACATGCCCACCCCAAACCTTTCTGGTCTCGCCGCAGTCGGAGCACAGTGGCTTCCAGTTTCTCGCAGGCCTCAGGGTCCCTCCGGATGGCTGTGCAGGGGAGCGAAGATTGAGCCTGGGGAAGGGGCACGGCAAGCCCAGGGGACCCTCTGCCCAGCCGGCCCCCAGGGCAGCACTGACCCTGGACCACAGTGAGCACGGTGTGTGGCCAGTCCAGGGAGATGGCCAGGCCCAGCGCACGCAGGTACCTCTTCTCGTGGAGCAGGTTGTCTAGTTCCTGCTGCCTAGCCCGGAAGAAAGGAGAACAGGGCTGCTGGGGGCCTGGCCAGGACTGGCGACAAAGCCACTGGGGCGCCGCCCTGGGAGTCAGCAGCCAGGGCCTGAGCACCCATTGGAGATGGCTGTCACCCACCTCTAAGCCTCAGTCTCCCCATGCTATAAAGCAGGGGTGATGCAGATACCCGGCCCCAGGAAAGGGATGGCACTGATGCACAGGTCATGCCAGACTTGTGGCGGCACACATGATGAGGGCTGAGTGGGGAGCCCCAGACTCACTTGACCAACTGTTCCTCCCGCTTGGCCTGCTCCTCTGCTTGCTCCACCTCGGTCACGTCCTGGGGTCAGATGGGTCAGATTGGCACCCGTGCTGCTGAGCCCCCCACTCGCTCCCTGAGTCCACACACCTTCCAGAGGATGATGCAGGAGTCGCTGGCACCAGTGAGGGCACGATCATCCAGCCGGCTGCAATGCAGCCCCCAGACCTTGTCCTCATGGGCGTCCAGCGTCCTCACACACTCGTTGTTCTTGATGGTCCAGAGCTTCACAAGTCCGTCAGAGCCTCTGGGTTTGAGATGGGGAGGGGCTTCAGCACTGGGGCCTGTCCCTCAGCTTCACCCGTGCCCTGCCGCCAGCCCACTCACGTGGACAGGAGCTGTGTGCCGCGGCTCACAAAGGCCACCTTCAGCACGGAAGCATCGTGCCCCTCGAATGTCTGCAGGGAAGGGAGGAGGAGGGCATAAGATATCACCGGGTGGGGGGCCAGGCTTAGGGCAGGGGTGGCTTACCTTGAGGCAGCTGAAGTCCTGCAGTGCCCAGAGCTTGATGGTGCCATCGGCTGAGGCTGTGGCCAGCACCTGGTCCATGGGTGAGAACTGGACACACCAGAGGCCACGCCGGTGGCCCGAGAAGACACCTAGCAGTTGGCACTGTGGCAGGGCCCAGAGCTTGGCCGTGCGGTCCTGTGAGCCTGTGGCTAGCAGCTTGTCATTGGGGGCAACGGCCACACTGTTGATGTCCTGGTGACAGGAGCACGCAGCAGCTCAAACCCTATCCAGTGGGGACCCTGCCACACCCCTGCCCCAGCATACCGTACAGTCACCTTGTCATGGCAGCGCTGTGTGACCTGGGCCTGGAGGAGGACAGGGCCACTGTCTGGGGCTAAGCTTTTGGACAGCAGGGCGCTGGGGAGAGGCCACAGCTTTACTGTGCAGTCCTGGCTGCCCGTTACCAAGAAGGTCTCCTTCAGCCTGAGGCCCAATTTGGGGGGAGGGAGAAACACGTGCTGAGCCCCAGCCAGTCCTGTCTGCCAGTGCACCACCGCCCAGGCATGTAGGACCATAGTCTAGACCAGAGGGACTGCCCCAGGATGCAGACAGTACATGTCATCCCCCACCACTGGGACCACCTGCCTGCTCTCCAGCCTGCACCCACCACCCTTGGTCCCACCATACCTGGTGATCTGGTGTCACCTTCTCCACCTGGGTTTGTTCAGTATCATTCTTTCTGCCCTGTATCCACCCAGTCCCAATGTTACTTCCAGAGGAAACCCCCCCCCCACTGGTGCCTGGGGGAACCCCTGGCCCGTTCTCTGTTCCATATCCCTGGGCTGGGGCTTTGAGGAACAAGGCCAAAGCCTCCCTCTGCATCTCCCTGAGCAGGGCCCCCATCAGCAGGGCCTGGGCCTCTGAAGCACCACTGACCCCAGTCCTGGCCCGCTACCTAGAGCAGCAGATGGCACCCACGCTGTGTGTGTGCCCTGAGCCCTGAGCCACACGGGTCACCTCGCCAGCCTTGTTCATCCTCCAGATGCAGATGCTCTGGTCCTAGGGATGGAGGGGTTAAGGAGAGGGTGGGCTGGGCTTCCCCACCCGAGGACCCGTGGTACCACACCTCTTAGGTGCCTTACTTTGGCACAGCTGGCAAAGAGCCACCCCTTCCGGAACACATCCAGAGCCAGGACGATGTCTGGGAAGAAGTGGAGGGGAAGTGGTCAGAGATCAGTTACGGCAAGTGGGGACAATCAGTCCAGGCTGGGGTCTGGTAGTGTCAGCCTGGCACCCTCACCTGTGTGGCCATGGAGAATCTGGCAGGCTGACGTCTGCAACTCAAACACTTTCAGGCAGGGGCTGTTGGAGGCCACGACAACGTGGGAGTCCTCGGGACCGAGAAACCGGACGTCCAGAACCTCCTCACTGTAGCCAGCAAACTGCAGGGCAGAAGGGACACAAGCCAGACCCACATGAGTGGAGGGCCAGTGCCCCAGCCGTGGGCAGAGCAGGGGCAGCACCCACCTGCTTCTGTAGCTGTAGGGAGCGAGCCTCGTACAGTAGCAGGTTGTGGTCGGCAGTGACGCTGAGGACCAGGCCAGCGGCGGGGACCAGCGAGCAGTGGGTCAGCTCCTGCCCGGGGCCTGGCCGCCGCTGCTGTGTGTACACACACTGCCCCGAGGCTGCCTCCCATACACGCAGTGCGCCTGTGCGGGGACAGGGGCTGCTGGGATTCAGATCTGCATGCCTCCCCCGGCCCCAGCTACCTGCCCTGGCGGGGCCCCGCACACCTTGGTCGCCAGCTGTCAAGAAGTGCAGGCCCGTGGACGTCACACCCAGCTCGGGCGCCAGCTCCTCTGGCAGCAGCACTGCAGCCTCCACGCTCTGCGGTTGAGAGGGTCAGGAGGCAGCAGCCCCCACCTCCCTGCCCGGCCCCACTCACTGGCCCCGGTCCCTTGCCACCCCCACCTCAAACACTGGCACGGTCCTTGTTGCCTGGTGGGTCCGCAGGTCCCAGACAACGCAGATCTTGTCTCGGCCTGAGCTGGGGGAAAACAGCCACGTCAGTTTCCAAGTCTCAGCTGCAGCCCCCTCAACCCCTGCCAAGGCTGGGCGGCCAGCTGCTAACCTGAGCATGGTCTGGCCACCACCAGTAAAGGTCAATGAGGTGACAGTACTGTAGTGGGCAGTTAGCACCGCCAGGCACGACCGGTCCTGGAGAGACCACACGCGTATGGTGGCATCTATGGATGAGGAGAAGAGCAGCAGACGTGCAGGGTCCGGGTGGAAGGCCACCAAACTGCAGGCAGGTGGGGTGGGGCAGGTGAGCTGTGCCACCCTGGTCGTGTTGCCCTGCCCGCCCGCCCTCCACTGGCACTCACTGTACAACACCCGGCGAGCCCCGAAAGTGGTGTGTCCCGTAATGCCGCACAATGTCCCAGACGCGCACAGCCCCGTCACAGCCACCTGTGGGGACGTGTTTGAGGGGAAGGGACTGGAGTGCCAGAAGTCCCCTGCCGCTGTGCTCTCCAGCCAGCACACCCACCCGGCCAAGGGGCCTCTACCTGTGGCTAGCAGCGTGGAGACGGGGTCAAAGGCCATGCTGGCCACAGGGGCTGTGTGTACTGCCTTCCACAGGCGGCTGATGCTGCCCTCTCGCCAGGCCCACTGAGCCAGCAGCAGTGCCCGGCTGGCACTCACCAGCACCTGGGGGAGGATGCATTTCAGCTGTGGGTACAAGCACGGCCACCCATCCTCATGGACTCAGAGTCTGGCTGGGAGGTACTGGAGCCCACCTCCTGTCCCTGCTGCACATACCGCATCATCGGGACTGAGCACGAAGGCAGTGATGTCCTCCTGGTCCTCCTAGGAGCAAGAGAGGACACATGGAGCACCAGGAGAGCAGGCTGCTCTCCATACCAGTCCCTCACCTGGCTCTCCCCAGCTCACCTGCTCCAGGCTCTGCAGCACAGCCCCTGAGGCCACGTCCAGGATGTTAACTCTGGTACCACAGACACAGAAGAGGTGCTGCCCAGTCTGGTCCAGCTGGAGACAGAGGGGTCTCAGCCAAGGTAACACTCTGCAGCCCTTGCCCACCCCACTGCTCTGACCCTCCTTGAGCTGGTACCTGCACCTTCCCGCCCTTGTAGAAAGGCTCGATCTTGCGCTCGACAGCATAGCTGGAGGGAAGACAGGGAAAGAGAGTGAATCGCCCACTGCTGGGTCCCCAGTGCCCAGCCCCATGCTGCGTGTTCTCCCAGAGGTCAGTGCAACAGGCCCTTGCCCTTGAGGAGTTTCTGGCCGGCAGCAGGGATGCGCGTGCAGAGCGGAGGTGCTGGTGATGAGCTCTTCTCGTTGTTAGCTACAGTGGGTGTTGGTACCCCCATGCTACAGAGCACCTGGCCCAGAGCTGGGCACTGATCTACACAGCACAGCCAGTCCCACAGCCCAGTCTCCCCGGAGTTCCTCCACGATGGAGAAGACCAGACCCTGGGGGCCCCTTACTGGCCGTGGGAGGCCAGGCCTGGTACCACAGCCAGGAGCAGCATCCTCAACATCTGCGCCCCTGAAGCCCAGCCTCCCTCTTCCCCAACCCTGGCTCCCTCCTCCATCTCCAGCCTGGCCTGCATCCTGCTCCCCAAGCAGCCTTCACTTCTGTGGCCTCGTGCTGGCCTCTTCCCTCCCTCTTGGCTGCCTCCATGCTGGTCCCGGCCACTGCACTCTCACATCTGGCCGCCGCTCCAGCCTCTTCTCCAGGCCCCTTCCCACTCTCTCAAATCCTGCTACCAAAGGGGCCTTTTAGAACATAACTGTTCACGTCAGCACCCTGCCTTAGCCCCCCTCCCCCTTACTTACATGTTTTGAAGACTGCCTGGCTAGAGGAGCCTCTGCTGCCCCTTCCTGCCTCACACAGGCTGCTCCTGGTATGTGGCCCGTGCTTCTCTTCCCAAAGTGCAATGGCATCTGCCTTACTTGACTGGGAGAAGCCTGACTGCCAAGTTGAAAGAGTCCTTCAACCCCTGAACCACGTACCACCCAGCAGGGGTGCTCTTGGCACAGCCACCTGCCTTTGTTAGTGTCCGTCACAGCCACTGACAGAAATGTCTTGTCTAATATGCGACCATCGAACTGTGCTCCACATGGCGGGATTACTCTGTCCCATCCCAGGCATGGCGCACTTAGATGTGCAACAGAGGCTTGGGTGTTGAAAAAGCACAGGACTCAAGGGCCTCCTGGCCCACTGCGCACGCACCGCTCTTCCGCTCCCTGGAGAGGAGGGAAGCAGGTGCAGGCTCCCCAGGTCCCGCTGCCGTCCAGAACCAGGCTCGACTTGTGCTCGGTCCCGCTCCTTCCTCCTTTGGGATTTCTCGTCTCCACCCCACCCCCACCCCCAAACTGGCTCTCAGTTTAAGTCACCGACGCTGGCTGTGCCCGGCGGGGTTCCAGGGCCGCCTCTCGCACCTTAAAATACTGCGGCTGCTACGACCCAGCGAGCCAGTCAGTGCTCAACCCTCACCCCTACCCAGACCTGAATGGGCGCCAGCTCCAGGGCGGGCGCCTCCGCTGCTCCCGCTGCAAACCCGGCCCCCTCCCCGGGTGGCGCCCGCAGTCCCAGCGTCTTGGCTCACTTAGCCTTGAAGCGACTCGCTCCCAGTGTGGCCTCCGCCATGCCGCCGCCGCCGCCGCGTGAGGGCGTACGCCACGCCACTCCACAACGCAGGCGCACTGCGTGGCGTCACCGTCGGCGACTAATGAGGCGTCACCAGCCCAGTACGACGCCATCTTTGCTGTGGGCAGCGGCTGCTGCTTCGGGAAGCGGAAACTGGGAGAGGTGTTTCCGGCCTGGAGGGTGCGAGGTGGGGCAGTGTCGAATGGACTACGGCGATGGAATAGACTGGTGGTGGAGTGGGATTGCCAGTTCTCCGGCCTCTTAATGAAAGTCTGAAAAAGGCACTCGTAGGAAATATTTGCTAGTTATCCCACGACCCCTGCCGCCTCAACATTCTGGGATTTGAGGGCAGGCACGATCAGGTGCGGTCAGTGAGCAGATGGAGGTGGGAACAGCGCACTGCCACCTGCTCACCGCTTGGTGTGAGAAATAACGCCATTAAGTGAATAAAACCAGGTAATCTCAGAATGGCTAAAGTATTTAGTGAGCACATTCTGTGTGCAAAGCCCTGTTCTGGGCACTATAGAGAAGAAAAAACACCAGTGTTCGAGTAGTGCGCACGCCGGGTGGGTTAAGGGTTGGACGGGGGAAGAGCAAGAAAGTCAAGATGGGTAAGTGATCAGTGCTGTGTAAAGGGTAAGTGTGGGCAACGGGGCGAGAGGCGTGCAAGAGCTGCAGTTTTAAATGGGTAATGGAGGCGGCTTCGTTGAAATGACACCTGAGCAAAAACCTGCAGTTGGTCAATCAGGAAACCCTGGGGCTCCCTGGGGGAACATGCTTCAGGCTGAGGAACAGCCAGGGCACAGGCCTGCGTTCAGGAGCAGCAGAGGTTGGTATGGCTGTAGGGAGTGAGGAGGCAGGAGGTCAGAGATTACGGGGGTTCCTCCTGTATCATTGTGTGGATCTGGCTTTTTCTCTTGAGCCCTAGGTTTTGAACTGGTTGTACTACTGGTTATGAAGCTGGTAGCCGACTGGTAGAAATTAACTGGGAAAGACACTGAGGATGATCAGTAGAAGCCTCTGGGAAGAGACATTTGAGTGAAACCTGCTCAGAGCAAGGGGAGGAGCCTTGGGCAGGGGAAGTAGCCAGTGCGAAGACCCCGCGGTGGGAAAGTACTTGGAGAAGTCAAGAGAAAGGCCACAGCAACCCTGCAGGGGAAGGAAGTAATGCCGGGAAGGCGGGGCGGGCTGTGGGGGAGGGGGAGGCGCAGGCAAATGTGACAAGCACAGAGGTGGTGGGGCGGGCCGGACCTGGGCTCCACGTTTATTTACTCTCTATTACAAGGTATCTTGGCCCCGGGCTCTCCACAGCTCAGCCCCAGTACTGCCTTCTGGGATGGTCTGGGCTTCCTGTTGCGAGGAGCCCATGAGCAAGGCGTCGTCCTCCTCCAGGAAGTCTCCAGCTGCGCCAGCTGCCGGTGAAAGAGGTTGATGGTGCGGTGCACCTTGCTCATGCGCCGCAGCACGCCCAGCCCTAAGATTTGGCAGCCTGGAGGTGGGCACGCCTGGAGGGGCCCTGGGTGGCCCCACAGCCACGGAGCAGCGCTGCTGGGCACCATGCTGGCTGCGCTGCCGGTGCTCAATCAGGGACCCACGCGGCACCCGAGCTGGGCAGCCCTCGTTGGGGCAGGCCATCAGCTCGAAAGGTCATGAGTCCTGGTGCTCTTTGTGATGGGCCAGGGGGAACGTCACCAAGCAGCCAGCTTCAGCGTTCTTGCACTGCACTGGGAGTGGGAGAGAGCACCTTGTGAGCTCCACTGTGAGGGCCGTGTGAGGGGCAGCCCAAGACTCGGAGATTGGTTAAGTATGGGGCTAGGTGGCTCCTGCAGGTGGTATGTTTACCAAACTTTTTAAACTTTAGTTTCCCCATCTATATAATTAAAGAATAGTAACACTTTATCCTCTTAAGAATTCTCTATAATCCCCGTTTTACAGCTGAGGCCCTAGGGGCTCAGAAAGGTAATTTGCCCAAAGTCACCAAGCAAGTTAAGTGGTAGAGATGTGACTAAAACTCAGCCAGGTCAGACAACGCCAGAGGCGCCAGTCTGAATGGTAGGCGTAGAAACCCTTGGTTCTGAGGGTGGTGTCTCCTTGTCCCCTTCCCAGGCTCTGCCCCAACACCCCCAGTGGTGGGACTGGGTGCTTCCAGCTAGCCTGACTTCTAAGTGGCCAATGATCTTCCAGAGTTTATTCACACGGACTACCTTTTTCCATTTTACTTCTTTCCTGCAGTATGGACAGGTCTTTTGTCTAGGAGGCATGAGGGTAGGGGGTAGGGGGTGTGTTGGCAGTGGCGAGGAAGCAAGCAGCAGTAATGTGCCTTCTCTCCAGCTAGAAGAGGCATGAGAGGGTTTTATAGGGAGTTCTCAGCTCTGACGCTTGCTTGGGTCAAGGGTTGCAGAGACCACAAGATGGACTGACCCATATTTTAGTGTCCCAGTGGATTTGACAGCTGAATCTTCTGACCATCATGACCCAGTGCTTCCTGTTCTGGGCCACAGGAATGGCTCTCAGCCCTGTCCTCCCAGCCTCTTGGGTACCCAGTAGCACCTGAATAGCCAGCAGAGGATGCACTTCTTGCAGATGTGGCTGCATGGCAACCTCACTGGGTTCTTGAGGACCCCATGGCAGACAGAGCACAGAAGTTGCAGTTGGGAGGGCTAGTGAAGAGGTTGAGGTCATACACACCACTGTGTAAGACAAGGCTAGCATCAGAGCCTGGCTGGGACCAGGATCTAGCCCCCTGTGGGTTGCCACCCATAGATCATTCTGTTTCTATGGGAATTGTTTGCCTCCCTTGGAATCTGGTGCAGGCCGCAGCTCACTAAAACTAAACCGAGATGTTTCTTACCGCTACCCCCTCATTGTCTGGCGCCAGCGACGACTTGCCCCAGCGACCTAAAGCACGTTAATCATTGTCTAGAAATTCGCTAACCCACTCGAGAATGTGATGCCTGCTCAATAAACATGAGAGGTGCCTTTCCAGCACCACTCTTGAGCTGGTGTGCCTCGAGTCCCCTGGCTGGCCCACTCAGGACCTCGATATCTCATCGCGTCGCCTCCTTTATCTGCAGGTCGGAGATGGGGAGGAGGCCAACAGCACCCCCCACTCCACATGCCCGGAGGGAGACCAGGGAAGCTTTGGGTGGGGAGATGGGCCATGTGAGGACTCCCTACTGTTGATTTGAGGGGGCAGCTGAGGTTAAGATCTCCCTTGACTACAAACCCCCAGCTGGAGAAGCTGGCCTTGGCCTCGAGTCACACCTGGACAGAGCCTTCTGAAAGATTTCCTCCTCCCATTGTGAACCTGTAACCCACTGTCTGCCCCTTCTGAGGAATGGGGTCCCGTTCTAGGCAGATCTCTGGAGTCAGGCACAAATCTAATGGCCAGAGTCCAGGACCACTCACCATATTTGTCTTAGATGTCAGCTTCACTGATTCCTGGGACTCAAGAGCCTCCATTTCACAGCAGGAGTGGACTGACATCACAGTGGCATTGTCCAGCTCAGGTCAATCACAGCCCTGGTCCAGGGCCCTGTGGGACCCTGCATTATCTGCATTATCTGGCTCTTGCTCCCCTCTCCAAAGGGTCACAGAAGAGGACAGAACAGCATGGACCAGGGACAGGACCCTTGGAGCCCCTGCCTTGGGGGTAGCTGAAAGGCCAGGAACTAAGCTTCTGGGAGTTGTTTCCCCAAGGGTGAGGCTTCAGCAGGAACTGTTTCCCTGTCCTTCCTCAAATACAGTGCTGCCCAGGTGGACAGACCTCCAAGAGCTCAGAGGCTTTTGGCATCGATCCATCTCAAGTCTCTTAGGACCCATGGTGCTAGCTCTAAGTAGACAAGGGACGTGAGGGCCAGATTCCATTTAGCCCCTGGTACCACAGTAGGGAGGCCTGGCCTGTGGGAAAGCCTCCCAGGGCATCTTCATCTTGGCGGGCCTATGAGAAAAGGGGAGGGGAAGTCAAGTCTAGTCTGTGAAACCAGCATGTAGGAATAAACGACTGCAGGTTCAGTGCTATGGGAGTAGCAGTAGGAAAGGAAGATGAGGTCAGAGGGTAGAGAGTCCCAAAGACCCTAACCCTGCCCCAAGAGCAATAGCAGCCACAGCAAACGTTTGAGCTATGGACCTTGCACTCCTGTCCTTGCCAGTGGATTGTGGCCCAGACTCACTTGCCTCCAGCTCAAGACACTTTGCTGAGGTAAGGTATGAGGTGTGATAGACCCATCAGGGTGTCAAGCCTGGTTCTACCACTTAAGGAGTGTGGGACCTTAGGAGTCACCTGCCGACCTCCACAACTCAAGTTCTACCCCTGGGTGGCACCCACAGCAGAGGCCAAGTACAGGAGGTGTGCCACAAGGACCTGCCCTTCAGAGCACACCTTGGTCTCAGGGCCAAAGATGCGCTTTCCCGGCTGATAGGCGGGAGCCCAAGAACACCCACACACAGATGAACTGGTTCCACCCACGGCTTTATTGCAAAATGAGGGCTGAGAACCCCTCCTCCGCAGTCCTGGCCGCGACGGTCTCGGGCTTCGGCAGACCGGCGTCCTGTTAAAGGAAGATGAGGTCAGAGGCCGGAGCACCGAGCAGCGGCACGTGTCGGGGCCTGGGTTTCACCTGCCCACACGGCGGGGCGGGAGGCGAGCTAAGGCCCCGGTGGCTCTAGGCGCCGAATCTCACCCACGGCCACGGCCAAAGCAGCAGGTGATTTTCAACCAACGCCAACTCCCCCTGGCAACACTCTCGCAGAGCGCGAGAGACGGACCTACCTGCAGTCCTGCGAGGTGCGGCGCGGCGCAGGTACTTCCGGCCGCTCCGGCGCACGTAGATGGCCAGGCAGCCGAGCGCACGCGCACGCCCAGCCAATCACAGGCTGTTTTATAGCGCTCGGAGCGCTCGCGATCGGGGCGGGGCAGCGAGAATATCGCGGCACTTGATGTGATACAAAAACCGCCCTGTCGCGAGGCCTCATCCTTCTTCTCCGGAAAACACGTGAGTACCGCTGTGGCGGCGCCGAGCTGCTCGGACGGCGGGGTTCGCGGACATTGTGGCGTTTCGGGAGGGCGCGCCCGCCCCGTCGGAGTACCGGTCCGGTCAGCTCGGGTGTCAGGGCCTCACTGATTCTTGTCTTCCTTCTCAGCAAATGGCGGATGACGCCGGTGCTGCGGGGGGGCCCGGGGGCCCCGGGGCCCCCGTAATCGGAGGCCGCGGCAACTTCCGTGGAGGCTTTGGCAGCGGCGGCCGGGGTCGGGGCCGCGGCCGGGGTCGGGGTCGGGGCCGTGGCCGCGGAGCTCGCGGAGGCAAGGCCGAGGACAAAGAGGTAAGTCCGGGCCAACCGCGTGGGACGGGCCCGTGGACGGTGCCTGGCAGGCGGCCCTGGTCACCGGCGCCTTTTCCCCCTGCAGTGGATCCCTGTCACCAAGCTGGGCCGCCTGGTCAAAGATATGAAGATCAAATCGCTGGAGGAGATCTATCTCTTCTCGCTTCCCATCAAGGTAACACGAGGGCCCTTTGTCCCTGGAACGGGCTTTGGGCAGGTGGGGTCCCAGGGAGCTTTTTTCCTGGGGTGGAGGGATGAGATCTGCCTTTGAGGGGCTCCAGGCTTCACGTTTGAGAGGT